GAATAGCCACGGAGGAGAGAGGGGCTGCCCAGCTCCCTTTGCTGAAACTGCCTGATCCTATTGAAATATTTTATAGGGAGACAAAGCCCAGCACGACAGACAGGACTTAATGACATAATTCCTCTGGGGGAAAGAAGAACTGCTTCCAGTGCAGGTCCACTCCCCTGAAGGCACTGCAGATTAATGGCTGAGAAGCCTTAGCCGAACTCAGCCAGTGGGAAGTCGTCTCTGGTTTTTCAGGGAGGCAGTCAAAGTAATTTCAGTTTTAATTAGATATGGCATTCTTCTTCCTTTCCTAGACAGCATCAAGGGCTCCTGCACTTGCAGACTGGCTGTGTTGGTGTTCTGGGGTTGACACAGATACCTGGCACTCGGACCCCGGCATCATCAGCGTGTGTGGAAGCATTCCTGCAGCAAAGCCAAGCCAGGCTGCCTGGTCCTGCCTTACTAATGTGATCACACTTTTGTGATTCAGGTGGACCCCATGCTCCTCTTGCTGCTCTATGGTGAGGTCTTCTCCAGCCAGTTAACAGCAGATGGAGGTGAATTTGTGTCCTGTGTAGGCCCTTCACAAAAGAGTTGGAGGTTGGTTTGCTGCCTTTGCTGTTTTGGCTCAGGAGACAGTGGAGTTCAGACTCTAACCAGTGTCACCAGCTGTTATGTCCCACTGCATGCTTCCACAACTGAGTGAACAGGGCTTTCTTGGCAGAGGGGGAGAGGTCTGAGATGAAAAGTGCTTGCAGTGTGCAGTGGAAGTACCTGCAGCTGCCCCCTTGGACAATCAAAGGCATACTCTGCACTCTGGAGTTTTGACATCCTCCTAGGAGTAGTGGGGCATGCTGGATTCACACCTATTAGATACCTGATCAGAAAAGCTTGTCCTGTTGTACTTCTGGAGAGCAAGGATAGCAGTACCTTCATCTGTGCACAAGAGCATCTCTGTATAAAGCTGGCTGGAGATGGGCAGGGCACAGTCCTTGCAGAGACCTTTTCTGTAACCACAGTCAATAATTTTTTTTTTTTCCTAGGCAGAAACCACCAACATTTTCTTGAACATTCACTGAACATTCTGATCTACTGTTTTAGCTGGAGGGAATAAACCAGTCTGTCTAGCAATTAGAAAAGAAAGCTGAAAGATATTGTGTTTTCATATAGTTAGAGAGAAGAATTGGACAGTGGAGCTCTGTGGTCTTAGTTTCTGCAGCCACCCTCTGTCCTCTAGATGGGATCCCCTCCAAAAACCCCAGGCTTGGCAGGACAGCACAAACAAGTGAATTTAAAAAATCACATAACTTTAAAACTTTGCCAGGCTAAGGTAGCAGCAATTTGGCTGTTTACATATCTGCATGGGAGTAGTCATTAATCACAGTGTGCATAAGGTTCATTTGCTTCCTCTGAGGAAGGGATGTTTTCACACTAATAATTGCTTCCATATGAGAGCTGGAGGTGTGTTGCTGTGCTCTTGTCACTGCAAAAGGATGTGCTGGAAAGCTGAGCCTGTGGTGGATACTTGCTGTAAATTACACGTCTTGCTTGCATCCTTTTAGCTTTTTTCAGTGATTAGTGAAAAATCCAAGGCTTTATGGGAGAAAAAAAAAATCCTGTTTAGGTTACAGGTATTATTAAACTTCTACTTTTCTCTAGTCAATCCTTTCTTCACTATTTATATCTTGTATAGTATTACCACCTTTCTTCCTAGCTTTGTGCAATAATGCTAGAAATCAGAAAGTCAACTTCTTTCTTGCCTTTTTCTCTTCTCTGAAATTGATGTTTCATTGGCTACCCTCAGATTTTCTGGGCAACTGACTCAACTAAGGACCAAATGTGGATTAATAAAGGCGTGTTGTAGCCCGATACTTCGTCTGAATGTGTTCACTGCTTGCAGTGCCTTGAAGGGTTATTTTCATGGCAGTGAAAATTTTTCGGTAGCACAGTGAACACGCACACTGGGAATGTTGGAATGTTTCTGGAAATGAAGGGAGGCGCTAGAGTCTTTTCTGACATAGAAGCAGAAGAGCAAGAGATGAGCTGGGATATGACATTGCTTCCCCTCAGCACAATATTGTGAACAGGTGACCAGATTTCTGTGTTTTGTCAATTCTCTCTGTGGAAAGGACAATTTTAGACGAGCCAAACCAAAATTGACAACAACAGAAGCTATGAACCATACAGTCGGAGAACAAAATACTCTCTGTAGACTTAGGAGGGCCAGTTTGGTTGCAAACAAAAAACACAAAATTTTTCCAAAGGATAACCCAACTGGATGTGACTCACAAGAGAACCATCCAAATTTCTGTGAAGCCCAGTTCCTTTCTGGTGTCACTGAGCCAACTGAAACCTGCTGTATTGTGAAAACCCTGGCATCAGCACAGGCGTGTGCTTTGTTCACCCTTGAATATTGTGGCATTAAAAATAGCTTTTTTAAAGGAAAGCCACACCTACAGCATAACAGTATTGTTAAGGCTTGTCCAAGGTAAAGCAATTTGTATAGCTGTGATGACATCCTACACAACTGGAAAACTCCTCTGTCAAATGTGCTGGTGTAGTGAAAAACAGAACTTGCAAGCAGAGAGGCTGTTCCAGAGTGTTGCCATATTTTATGTCCTGTCAGGCCTCAAGGACAAATACAAGCTGCACAGTTTAGAAAAAGCGTTTTTGAAGCTAAACAAATTTGCAGTGAACAAAAACCTCACTTAAGGGATCTAAATATGCAGGCAGCTTACAGAATTCATGCAGGATTTTTGCATCATGTACAAGAAATCTTTAAAGACTGAGCAATCTGTTGTCTCCTGGTACTCTGGAGTTTCTGGAGATGTGAGCAGCTTGCTATAGCCTCTGCTGTAGCACTCCCCAAGCCGGGCAGCAGGACACTCTCAGATCCAGTAAGTCATGTCTCTTCCAAGGTAGCAATGTTCTGCCAAGGTACATCAGCTGTACTTCCCTGTGTCAAAGATTCATCCAGCTACAGAGAGACCACAAGGTCTGTCTGACCTTGCCCATACATTCCTAAATCATCCTTAAGAAAACAGGAGGCCTATGTGCAGATACTTCGTCAAAGAAAGGGAGGGAAGGGGTACATACATTCTGTGTTCATCTTGTGCTGACGTGCCCTTGGAAGGTAAGGATGTGTTCAGTAAAACAGCTGAGGCGTCCATGCCATGGGAAACTAACTTTGACTTGTTTGGGCACTTTCCTTGCCTTCTGCCTCAGGGGCAAATCCAGCTGTTGTAATGTCCTTGACAGAAACACATAGGAGTGTGGGACAATGCAGTGTTTGGTAGGATGTGCTTACTACTGCAATAGGAACACCTCTTCAGCACATGCTGCTACTTGTAAAATGTTTGCTTATAGGCTGAATAAACCTGGGAAACTAAAATACTCATGATCAGGACAGCCTCTGCTGCAGGGTATGGTGATGTGAGCATCTAGCATGTACCTGGAGTTGGAGGCTGGCTGCTGGGCTCTGCTTTTGCCCTGGCCATCATGCTGGAAGGGCCCCAAGGGGAGTCAGTGGTCTTGTCAAGGATGGTTCTGATGACAGCGATGCTTCATGACTGGCAGGCAGAGTGAGCCTCTCATTTCACCTAGGCCACCACATTTTTATCAGGCCTAACAACATGCAGGTAGCCATTACTGAGATCAGTTCGGGCTTGGAGGAGGAACAGATTACTGCAGCAGTTCCCCTGAGCCACCGAGTGCCCTGTGGTGCTGCAGCCGGACCAGGCTTACCTCCTGAGAAATCACAAATAGTTGTTTTGGCATCCCACTCTTGCTGCACTGAGTCATGGGGGTGAGTCTCTGCAGGCAGTAGAGAAATTATCCTTTCCCAGGTTTGGCACTCTGTTCATTTCTAGTTAGGTGTGGTAAATATTAACGCTTAGCTTGGCTCTCTGCAGGGCTTGTATGACTGAGTAGCATCTTTCCATGTGGGCCTATTGCCACTGATGGATATAACCACAGCCAGGTGGTGTTCCTGCCATGGTTTTAGGGAGTGCTTTTGTCTCAGCACCCTCCTCATTTTTCTCTACCTGTTGGAAAATGGCCAAGGATGAATCTAGCCTAAAGTTGGTATTTCCCCCTTCCTGTGAGACACCCATTGTCAAGTGTATGAAAGCAGGAAAACAAGAGGCTGGCAGTTTTGCTACACAAAAAATCTCTGTCCTTAGGCAGTCCAACCAACACCTCTACAGCTGAGGTTTGGTCTTTTCACATTCAGCTAAAGTTGAGATATTCCAACAATCTTCAAAGCAAAGATATGGTGTTTTTTTTTTTTTTAAAGAAAGCAGTAATTCATGGCAAAATTTGATGGAAAAGCTCAAAGGATGGTGTAGGTTTTGCAGATGCAGAAAGATTACTAGTGAGGAAGAGATTAGGTAACACTGCTTTTGCCACTTGAGCAATATCTGTACCAGGAGAAATCATCAAACTTCTTGACTTCTTTTTCCTCTGTCTGTGCAGTGTGAGGATAATACCTGCTTGGCTTTGTCAAGTGCTTTGAGATCTGTGAGTGAATTGTAAATGACCGGTGGCAGCTTTCAATAACCTGTTAGTTATCCTTGTTCCTCCAAAGGGATAATCAGACTCCCAGTGTTTTCTGTGATGGGTGCAGGTACAAACTCATAGTTTATTTGAAGTAGGTAATGTCACTGAAGGGTCTAAAAGCTCATCTCCCAAATGTCCTAGGGAGTGGGGTTTTTTTTGGCATGCAGGGATTCCCACTTCAAGTTTAAATGGACTGGGGTCATAAGTGAAAGGGAAAATAAGAGGGTGGTTTTAATACATTTTCCCCATTCCTAAGCAAAAACAGGCAAATGGATTTGCAATCAACCCCTTGCCACACCAGACTCATGTGGCACCCTTCTATGGCTGTCCAGGAGGATTCTGGTGGCCCATGAGTGTGTGATCCTAGGCTGGAGTCCAGAGCAAAGCTCTTGTCCACATCCATCCACACACACTCGTGTTCAGGTTTCTGACTGGAAACTTCATCCAGACTGAAGCACATGAGAAATAATGCAGAACTCCCAAGGAACACTCTGTACTGCCTGGAGATTAGCCCTGGTGTAAGGTATGGGACATGATATTTTATATGTAGAGTTGTAGTAGTGTGGCTTTCCCTGTGGCTGGTTATACTGGAATAAAGATGACCTATTGAAATGAACCAAAAAAGCTATAACATACTTTTAATCAGGAAAAACGTGTGTACTTGGGAGTGGGGATGGTATATTTCTTAATGAATTGTCTTGAAATAATAATGATCTCTGTGTAGATAGGGCATAAAAACCCAGAGAATTCCAGGCTAACTTTCGGTCTGTACTTATTGAAGTGTATTTTGGGCTATTAAAACCCTGGGCTATATTAAATGATTTTAAATATATAAGCTTGTTACCATGAAGCCACTTGAGATATTGTACAATGTGACTGCAGATATATGCAAATTGGCATAATTTCCATTTGACATATGCACTGTAATTATTGAAAGCTTTTTTCCAAATTTATTTTTCATGTCTGCTGTAGTTAATTCACTATCTCCTTTTAACACTGGCAATTATAATTATTTGCTAAGAGCAAATCCTTGCTAACAAAAATCCAGTTTTCTTTAGCCTGCAGCTTTTCCTTTGAAATCATGATGAGGTACTGTTAATCAGAGGAACCAGTGCTGGCCTCTGAGTATCCAGCAGGGCAGGAAAACACTGCAGTCAGAAAAAGAAATGCAATTAATTAGTCTAAGCTTCTTTCTAGCATCCCAGCCCAGCGCCTCCTGGGTTGCCATGTTTGAGTGAAGAGGTGCTCTGTGAGATCAGAGTTAGCATCTCAATAGAAATTAAATTGAAGACTGTGTGCGCCCACTCTGAGATTTCTCCTCACAAGTTCTTGCTCATTCTTCTCTTGCAGGGGCTACAGGTAGAAAATAGCATATATTGGGGGAAAACAGTGTTATTGGGTTGAAAAATAAGCTTTCTGGGGTTGTTTTGCATAGGAATCTGAGCCAAGTCTCTGACTGAAAAATGGAGCAGTTGAAGAGCTTTGAGATTCTGGCTGCATACTGTTGTTTGGAAATAAAACAGTTCTTATTCCCTTGAAAATGCCTTGTCCTTTGTGTCCTCCTTTTCCTTGGAGATCAGTGTGTTATGCAGCTTCTGAAAGGAAATACAAGTGCAAGTGCTGTCTAAGAATTGCTGACCTACTTTACAGGTGTTTTATTCTTCATTGAATCAGATATGTACCTGCAACAGTGTAGGTGGATAAAAAATTTCTTTCATTTCTTTCGCCCACTGTGGCACAGGTCAAGTGCAGGAGAGCTCTACCCTTGAAGCTTCTACCCCTGGAATATTACTCCAGGTTCTCCTGGGGCTTCAAAGGGATGAGGGCCGAACATAGCTTTGCAGTGAGCTCAGAACAACATAAGGTACGGCAGCCTGGGCTGCACTTCTGCCACAGCAGCAGGTGGGCACAGTGAGAGGAACTACCCATGTTGACCTGTCTTTCCAGCCCAGGTATCCAGGATGCAGATGGTAAAACAAAGCCTGCTGTGAATAGGGACTCATTTTCCATTGTATGTTTGTGGAACACCTGGCACAAGAGGGTCTCTGAGATTACTATGTAAATGCAACAAAATCAAGCATTGAGGCTGATGAAGAACACAGCAGATTGAGCTGCCACAATTAACTATACCCATCCTAATGAACATAATGGGGAAATGTTTCAGTGTTGATCTGTTTTCCAGCAGTTTTTCAGTGGTGGGGAAAGGTTCGCAGTGTCCTTCAGAGCATGTAGAAAAGCATAATAAAATATGACTTCAGCTGCTACTGTGCTGTCTTGTCTGGTGCACACTTAGCCAGTGTGAGCGTGAATGGCATTTTCCAAAAACCCTTTTGGGAGAATTAGTTTGCAGATTGACTGCAGACAGGACAATCTGGCATCCAGGCAGATTGCACCCGATGAGTTACTGCTCTCTGAGTCAGCTGGTTGGGCTGCTGCTGAGTCCTTGGCTCTTGTGTAAGCTCTGCAGTCTGGGGAGTAATTAATCAGACCTCCATCGTTCTTATGGACCTAGGGTTGGAGCCAGGGAAGCGTGATGTCAGCGTCTCACATAGTCAGAATTGCTGATTCATTTGATTCATTCTTGCTGCTGCTTTTCAGAATGGGTTTATGGCTCCTCTTTAGCGGCACTTAGTGCTCACTGACAGGAATGTAAAATACTACCCGAGAAACTACACTAATTCTAAAGATAACTGCCTCGAGGGGAGCACTTAATAAATTATTTAGAAGTTTCTCTAAGAACCTGAGAATCATAAAATACTGTTGGTTGAGAAGTTAACAAAAGTACAGTTAGTTTAAACCCCCATTTGCTTGTCATCTTTTCACTGTTCTATTGAGCACGTTGCTCAAAGAGCCTGACCAATGGCCACTGTGACCGCTTTAATTCATGGGATTACAGCCGAAGTAAATTTGGCTTCAAGTTTGCTAAGGCCTGATGCCATCTCCCTGGAAAACTCTGTTATCAAAATTCTCACTTATTTCAAAATAGGAGTGGGGCTGGGCTGAAGGAACCCAGCTTGCTTATGGGTAGGGTAGAACTGCGCTACTCAACACTGACTTGGAAAAGTGGGGGTCATCTATAAGAATGTGTTTCGGCTTGAAAGGATCCCAACAAAGGGATTTGATTTTGATTAGGATTTTGATTTAGCTAGCTTGGTTTTTCTTACGTGGGCCAAGCTAACTTATTTTCTTAGCCTGTGTGTTGTGTGGTCCCGATCCTTGATGTTGTTGGCAAGACATAGAAACCATCTCTGGTCTGAGCAGAGGACTTAGACTGTGAAGAGGAAATGAGAAGCCATGAAGAATCCATGCCGTGGGCTCACCCAGAAATAGGCTTAGGCAAACTCTGATGAGCTAGGCAGGTGGAAGAATACTGTCCTGCAGCTTCACTGCTGTGTATATGGTTTTGTAGTCTCCCAGGCTCTGGTGAAAGAGTGTCATGGTGGTACCTGGGGCCGTGGTGGAGTGCCGTGACCTTCTGAAGAAGCGTCCTGGGGAGGACATCCTCAGAGAACAGGCATGTCCTCTGTGCTCGCTCCCGGGCAGAGAGTGATTTCAGCTCTTTTAGGAGCTCTCTGCTTCGGCCAGCACAGGAGGAAGAGACGGGACCGCGTGTGGTGATCCAAAGGCGATGCTTTATTCTTCTTTCCTTGAAGGGGTCGAGGAACGAAGTGGCTCAAGGGGTCTGAGGGAGCAGGAAAAAAAGTCTGAGGATACAGGAAAGCCAGGAGGCGGGGTAGAGCATTAAACCTGGCATCTGAGGGCTCATGGCAGCTACAAAGGGGGTAGGGCCAGCAGGGTACAATTGATTTACACAGAACAGGGAGGCATGTCGAGCAACTTTTCAGTAACCACTAAGAAGAGGGAGTGCCTAAGGGCGTTCCCTGCAGGGGACAGAGGCAGAGTCTTGCTGAGAGGCTTTCAGCCTCTACAAAGGGACACACCAGAAAGGAACAGATGGGAAAGGCAGCCTTGATCCTCTAGGTGAGCTTGGCAGGTTGGACCAACTGCTTGGTTTCATCCTGACCCCCTTTGTGGCACAACTTTTCCTGTCTGCTGCAGCCTTTCCAGCTCTGCTGCCCCTCAGTGAACAGAGAGGGGACCTGCTGACACAATGAGTAGGAAACCACTGACAGAACATTCTCTCCAAGGTGCATTGTGCAATTTAGTGTTTGTCCGTCCCTGCCTTACATGCTGGAAAATCCAGTTCCACTGCCAGGCACGGCCTTATGGGCTCTCATAGGGTTTGCCTAGTGATTATAAATTGATGTTTCCAGCTTTTGCAGCTGCGTATGTGAAAGAGAAAATGTGACCTGCGGTGTGAGGGTGTATGCACAGGTGCACACAGGGACACACAGGGTGTTCGTGCACTCACTGCTGAATGAAAGGAATGGCACTGCTCACCTCCACCTGCTGTGTACTTGTGTTTGTGTGTGTGAGAGGGACTCTCCTGCCCCTTGGCACGTGTCTCTGTGCTTCTGTACTGAAGTCAAAATTCTGTTTGTGGATGCAGTCTTCAAATGAGTCCAGTTACATTAGTGCATCCCAACCTGTAGCTGGGTGCTTTGGTCTCTGTAGTCAGTACAGTATTTGGGAACATGAGGAATGATCTTAGAATTTATTTTAACTACTCATATCAGGAAATTAGGTCAAATGCATGCTCCATTCATCCAGCACTGCAGGGGTGACACATTTTCTTCAGTACAGCAATCCTTCAGACTTCACTGGACAGGGAAAGAAGTAGAAATACCCCAGCTGAAAATACTGCAGAGAAATAAGATTAGGAAAAACATTTGGGTCTGGGCTAAGTGGGTAGTGAAGCTGATGATTCATACAATCATCACATAGAAGGGATCATACTGGAAACTTCAGTGCTTCTCCTGCAAACAGATTGTATGGCTGGATGTTTACCGAAGAAAATCCTGAAGTATAAAGTGCAGGGGGAGTACTGGTGCTGTTCTACATAGTGATGCCATGGGAGGTGCAGATAGGGATCTGACCCTGCTACTTGTAGGACCAGTGAGGTTTTTTTTGTCACTCTCCCTGTCACTTGGCTGGCAAGATGTAATTTTTCAATGTTTATAAAGCTTCATCAATCCTGTACAAATGAATGCATTAATTACTCACCAGCAATAGTCTGATGTTTATCTTTTGTCAGTTTTTTATTTAGTACCAGATTACAACTTGCTAGTTTTAATGGGGTAGATAGGGTAGGCAAGAGAAATATAAAGAAAATTAACTCTGATTAACAGTCATAAATTTCTCTGACTCAGTAAGCGTAAACAATTCAGTGATGGAAAAGCGAGCTGAAAGAAAATTGAACTGCCTGATTTCCTAATCCTCCCAAAGCCTTTACAACAGCTGGGCATTTAGTTGTTGTCAGCTAACACAAAAAGAAACATATTTAAATACAGGTAACAATGCCTCAGGAGAATAGAGATTGATCATAGATTCTGATTGCTCTATGACTTCTTTTTCTGAGGAAAAGAAAGGTATTGTAATATACTGGGCTAATGGCATGCCTTTTGCTCTAGAAGTTGAATAAAGGAAATGAGAGCAGTTGGAAGAAGTAAATGACCTAACACAGAGATTTTCACTAAAAAAATTTAAATCCCCTAGAAATCAATGAGTGTTTGCTTGAGTAAGGTCCACGTAGAATGTTTGGGGTTTTTTTTCTCAGCCTATCTGAACACTTAGTGCAGGTCTTTTGATTTTTTTTTCTTATATGGGGAACTACTCAGCAGGGATGTGATCATGCTGTTTTGACGGGGATTTGAAGATTAAAAAGTCAAACTGAAATTTGGGAAAGCCAGCATGGTTTGTCCCATATACTTTTTCCCAAGCACGTATGAGAGCATGGAAAGCATCCAAGTAGGACTCAGGGAATGTAAGTCTGAGCATGTTTCAGATGCCTGAACAGATAATCTCAAGCTGAGACCCCTGAAGCATTTCCCTGTAGTGTGCACAAGTAGCTGGTTTGTCAGGGTGTATTTGCACCTTCTCTAGATTTCCCAGCAGTTAGAGGTTTTTAAGTAGTTAAAAAATTGCTAAGTGCTTCATTTATTTCAGTCTCCAGTGTTGTTATTTGCATAAGTGCTTGTATAGAAGAGATGAGAATGACATGCCAGGTGGGCTATAAACAAGGAATCAAGCTCTAGCCCATGTTAGGAAAGGGTTAGAGAATTTTGCTTTGCCTTGCAAAGTGTGCTGGCATACACAGGAACACGTCTTGCTTGCTTTGCTTGCTCTTAAGCACATTGCCCATGGATTGAGTGATGCAGAAACTTTATAGTGCCAAATCAAAGGCCCCAGCTCGCCAAACTAACAGAATAAACACTCAGAAATTTATAAGGACTTACTAGGAAAGTTACCTTCAAGTCAGCACATACGGTCTTCACAGAAAAGGCTCATATCGTGGACTTTTAGAATAACTCAAGTTGAAAGGGACTGATAAGGAGCATTGAGTCCAAATCCCTGTTCCTTGCAGGACTACATGAAACTTTCCTATGAAGCAAACGTGAGTCCAGTGTCAAGCACGAAAGGAATGCATCTGTTTCAAATGCCTAGAACACTGCTACAGCAACATTTGTATCTACTGTAATATATGCACAGACATGGCCCCAGTCCATAACCCTAATGACTACCTCCATGCAAATAAAATTAATGTGGTATTAGTGCATAATGAAAATTGATACCATAATTACAGTCTTCTCTCATTCTGATGAGCTGTCCTGATTCTGCTTAGGTGGCACTTCCTTACCTGCAGGCATCATTATAATCTTCGTGGAGTCAGCAGGCGTATTTTCCCAGCCTAGACACCACATCTCAGGAGCTACCTACAAAAAACCCAGCATAGCTTTTTTATTT